AAATATAAAGTGAAATATAAAGTGAAATATAAAGTGAAATATAAAGTGAAATATAAAGTGAAATATAAAGTGAAATATGAAGTAAAGTATGAAGTAAAATATGATAAAATATGAAGTGAAATATGAAGTGAAATATAAAGCAAAATATAAAGTAAAGCAAAAAATAAAGTGAAATACGAAGCAAAATACGAAGCGAAATATGATCAAAATATGAAGCGAAATATAAAGCAAAATATGAAATGAATTAATCAAGAAACGAATTAACCTTTAAAATATGATAATTACTATTAGTATAGTACAGTGATAGTTTATTTAATTAATCGATGATATCATTAATAATTATTAGATCGTTTGGTTGATTTCTGGGCAATCACATGATCATCTGGAGCACAACCTAGTACGTACGTACGTATGTACACATTTTTGATTTGCAATTAAATAAACTATCACTGTACTATACTAATTAGGATAGCTGCGCAGCGTGTGATGTGGCACAGGACCAGTATGATCATATATGCCATTGTGAAAAGCTCAAGGAGATCAATTTACCTATTCTCTTTTTTTGTGTTTTCTTCTATTATTAGTTTCTAGTTTTTTTTCTAAAAATGCTTTAGTAGAATTAGACCCATAACTTCTCCAATGCAACTTATATTTTCTTAACATGCAAATTCGATTATTCGAATTAATTTCACCAAATAAATTAAATCAGATTATAAGAACTATATTACCGATTCTCCATAACTATTATCATGAAAATTGAAACTCAACCTCAAAAAAGAAACAAAAGGTAAAATTTCACCAACAAGTTTTTTAAAAATTGCACTAACCTTAATTCTACCTGACTCTAACGATTATAAGATCCACCTCATTTTACACTCATTTTGTAGACACAATGCTCCACTGACAATCAATTTACCACATATTCATTTCACTGACAAGCTTAATTCACCGACAAGCTTAATTCACTAATACTCAATTTACTAACAAGTTTGATTCACTAACCTTAAGGCCAGACCATGTTGATTATGTGTTTTACATTACCCCCTTCTCAGAGCTCCCCCTCCTCATAGTAAAAAAAAATTTTTTAAAATTTTACTATATAAACCACCCTCCTCCCCCCCTCTTCTGGAAGGGAGAGAGGTGTAATGTAAAACACATAATCAACTTGGTCTGGCCTAACTATAATTCTGATATAATTACTTTGTCAGTGAATTAATTGTCAGTGAATTGAATGTCAGTGAATTGAATGTCAGTGAATGAGCTTGTTGATGAATTATGGCTGTTTTCATAAATTTTGAGACATCGAAAAATTTTCTTGTTTCCTGAAACCTTTTGATCCTGTTTTAAGAATCACTTAACTTTTTGAAAACTACTTTGCTGACCTTGAGACTTCACTATGGAGACAGTGAAGTGGTTTCTGTAAAGTTAGGTGATTCTTAGAATAGGATCGTTGGAAAACAAGAAAATTTTTAGAAGTCCCAGAATTTAAAAAACAGCTATAAGTGTTGGTGAAATGGACATGTCGATAAATTAATTTTCGATAAATGTAGTGTTTATGAAATAAGTGTCAGTGAAATGAGTAGGACTGACAATAACAACTGAAATCACTTTGTGAAATAACTGTAAGTAAATTAAATTTTGTCAAAAGCATAAAAATTTGATCATTAATGTTTGCATTATAATGAGATAAATTTCGAAATAATTAGTGATATCAGCTTTGTATCATAATGCTGTAATGAGTGATCTACATACGAAATATGTCATATAGTATGTAAAAATCTTAACTCCTTTAGAAAATAGATAAATAAAAATCATTACCTCTTCTAAAATAGGATTTTTTCAAAATTTGCTAGCTCACACCCAAAAACATTATTCAAACCATCTCTTACACATTTCATGTGATCTTACTGGTATAGTAATTATTATTATTTTAAAGGTTTTTTTTTTTTTTAATCTTCAAAGGTGAGGCCATGCCTCTATCTTTATTAAAATCCAATTAAACTTCTTTACAAATAAAGATAAAGAAATTACATTATTTGAACTTTAAGATACTAAGACTAGAGACTCAGACAGAGCCCTTGCTAACTCAAAAGTTATAGGAGTTATCTGCGACCTAAACCTAATTATTTTAAAGGTTAATTCATTTTTTTATTAATTCATTTCATATTTTACTTCATATTTCGCTTCATATTTTGTTCATATTTTACTTCATATTTTGCTTCATATTTTGCTATTTTGTATTTTGCTTTATATTTTGCTTCTTATTTTGCTTCATATTCACTTCATATTTCATTTCATATTTCAGTTCATATTTTGCTTCATATTTTGCTTTATATTTTGCTTCATAGTTTGCTTCATAGTTCGCTTCATATTTTGCTTCATATTTTGCTTCATGTTCACTTTATAGTTTGCTTTATATTTCACTTTATATTTCACTTCACACTTCACTTCACATTTCATATAGTATCAGACAGCAAGAAACATCTAATTTTTTTTAAAAAGCGCCAAATTTTGCGATTTATACTCAAATCCAATTGGCTATTTTTTGTGTAACAAGATTCTGATTGGTTAAAAACTTAAAAAAACAATTTTTTTTTATATATTAAATGCCAAATTTTTGATTACATAGTAACTTTAGCTCTAATAATTTTTTAAATTTATAGTAAAAATAAAATCTATTTTAACAGAATTGTAGTTTAGACTAAAAACAACAAATCTGTAAGACAAATTTTTTAAAATTCATTTGTTTGTAAGTTATAAGCATTTTTATATTTATATATAAAAAGTGGATGTTTCTTGCTGTCTAATACTGTATAATCATAAAAATAAAAATATCAATAATTCATGATCTATTAAACCAAGTTTAATAATACTACTATTATTAGAACTAAAATAGCTTGCTCTACAATATTTGTTAAAACTCAAAAAAGATTTACTTAATATAAGCTAGCTACATTCCACCTTAATAACAAATTTTAACAATTTTTATTATTAAATTTGCTATTTTTTATACCTTTTAACTATGATTTATCTCTCAAATTTTGTAAATTTGTAAAAAAAAATTTTATATCATATTTGATTAAAAATTCTTAAGAAACATCTGTTTAACATTACAAAAATTTAACAATTAAATTTTTAGACATACAGATTTTTTAAACTTCAAACAATGATATCTCAACAAGAATATAATCAAATTCAATAAAATTTTTTTATTTCAATTCTATAAATCCGTAGAATTCAAAAAAAAAAAATTTCATTAAATTTGATTATATACTTATCAAGATAACTTCGCTCAAAGTTATAAGAACTTGATATAACTTGAATTTTTAGACCGACGTGCAGATTTTTTTAAACTTTGAACGAAGATAGTTCGATGAGTACATAACCAAATTCGATGAATTTTTTTTGAATCATACGAGCCCGTAGAATTCAAATAAAAAAATTTTCATCAAATTTGATTATGTACTCGTCGAGATATCTTCGCTCAAAGTTATAAGACTTTAGCGACTTGAATTTTTAGACTTGCAGATTTTTTTAAACTTTGGACGAAGAGATCTTGACGAGTACCAAATCAAATTCGATGAAATTTTTTATTTGAATTCGACGGATCCGTAGAATTCAAATAAAAAAATTTTCATTGAATTTGATTAGGTATTCATCGAGATATCTTCTTTCAAAGTTATAAGAATTTTGGTACAGCTTGGATTTTGAGACGTGAATTTTTTTAAAACTTTGAATGAAGATATCTCAACGAATACTTTACAAATTCGATGAAATTTTTTTTATTTGAATTCTACGGGTTCGTAGAATTTAAATAAAAAAAATCATCGAATTTGGTTTGGTAGTCGTCGAGATATCTTCGTTCAAAATTTTTCTAAAAAAAAAAAAATAATAAATCGTATTTGTTATTACATAATTTGGTTGCTTACAAAATACCGTCAGCTAATTGACTGTTATTATGCAAATGATTTATCTCCGCTTTAGACGACCTCTGGGATTGTTGATTCAATCGTTTGATGATTTATTATAACATTCCTGCCTAAATTGATTATCTATTCAATTCATGCGATCAACAACCAATCACAAAAAAGTTACCCTGAAGATTCTTCATGGTTGTCATGGGCAAGCATTTATTATGGAAGTTAAAAAACATACTATTTTTAGGGGCAGGGTAAATTTTATATTTAAAGCAATAGAAGTTTGGATTCCGAACCTAAATCAGGACCAGTTAAACCTGAAGCCGGGCATTCTTGAAATTTAGAAGAGTATGGCTTCAGGATTCACTTTTCTCCCTAAGCTCCAGTTAGTTATGCTAAATAATTTTGTTCCTAATATTATCGCTTAATTTCACCACTTGTCGGATCTGTCCAAGTTCTTGCAGGTCTGTAAATAATAAATAAATATTTAGATATTTATAAGTTAGATATTTGTAATTTATAAAGTATAAAAACAATCATTGTCATTTCTATATTTAAAAGATATACCTAATGATTTCTGCAACAGTGAAACTTTTCTTTTTACTCAATGGTCTACAAGCCTCAATTCTTACTACATCACCTAAGGCACAAACTTCTTTTTCATCATGTGCAAGGAATTTTTTGTGCCTCGTTATTACCTATTCATTTTAGATTATCATTCAGTACTGAATAAATTACGAAAAGGTGACGTGTTGAATTATATATAACGTGTATGTCTAAAATGATCACGTAAAATCTCGTGCCATTCAATTACCTTACGAACTATAGGATGGACGAATTGCCTTGCAACTCGTACTTTAACAGTTTTTTGCATTGCGGTACCCACTACAATTCCAAAAAAATTTTGCCGGCCCATTTTTTACTCTTGTGATTTGGTAGGAATTTCACGCGGATATGATCTAAATCTTTAAACAAAAAAAAAAAAAAAAAACCTGCAAGCTGATTGGCTGATTTGCTTGTATATATATATACACAAATTATATGAAACTTACTTGGATAAAATCATGAAACTTACACCAGAGCTTATTGAACGTTCACTCAGTTATATTAATTCCGTAAAAGATCGTGAACTAGATTTACGGGGTATCCTTTAGAAGGGCTTTATTTAGTTGTTGACAGTTTGGAATTTCGCTTTAAAGTGTTGTATAGATGAATACGGGAGAAATCAAATTTTCTTGGTAAAACGCATCTCGGCCATGTGTTATGCAAGATCTTTTTTTGTACGATAGATTTACTTTAGAAGAAAGTGCAAAACTAAAATGAAAGTATTTTCAGCGATGGCAAAGTTATAACTATTTTTGCAACGATCAACTTTCCACTTTTATATATATATTTTTTTCGCACACAATATTATTCCCTGACTCGAATTTTTATTTTTTCCACCTATTTTTTACTTTCTGCGCTATACCATATAATAGGCAATAAAATTCCTGCCATAGAAAATCTTGGTGTCACTAAGGTGAGTAAATATATTTGTTCCGATCAACCAAATAACTTTATTTTGTAACTTAACTAGATGAAAAAATTATATAGGATCTAAATGATACAATTGATCTAACGGATAATGACATTCGTGTTTTGGGAAATTTTCCACTTTTACGTCGCGTCAGAAGTTTGTTACTTGCCAATAATCGTATCACCCGTATCGATCCACAGATAGCAGAATTCCTTCCGAATTTAACTACTTTAGTTCTTACGAATAATAACATAACTGAAATATCGGATCTAGAACCTCTGGCCGAATGTAAAAGGTTAAAATATGTGAGTTTGTTGGATAATCCTGTAACACGGAAACAGTGGTATAGGAGTTGGATCATTTGGAAAATACCGAGTGTGAGAGTATTAGATTTCAAGAGAGTGCGAGATGTGGTATGCAATTAAAGAACATATTCCGTTTTTGTACATATTGGTTTAATAATGCACGTTTATTTTCTAAAAGGAACGGAAAGAAGCCAAACAATTATTTGAAACGGCAAAAGGGGAACCTACTTCACTTGCTAGATCTATCTCAGAGACCGTATCCAAAACTTTCGAACCTGGTGAAGGGATGGCTGCAGCTGGTGGCGCAAATCTTCCAAAATCCAACTTACCTACACTTGGAATGTCAATAGAGGAACAGGCAAAAATTAGAGTTAGTATCGTTTATCCATTGTCAAACGCTTAAATAAAACATATATAAACTAATGTAAACGTCTAATAAATGTTTTATTCGAACTCAATTATTTAGGAAGCAATTCGAAATGCCAAAACTCTTGAGGAGGTTTCGCGTCTCGAAACATTATTGCAGTCCGGGCATATTCCTGGTACAGGAAGACAACCTGGAGATTTTGGACAGGGCGAGAATGAAGAAATGGAGGAATAAGTGCACCATTTCTTTAGAGTCACGATTTATAGAACGAAAAAGAACAAATGCTTATATTATAAATGTTATATGGGACTGCGAGGAACTGTGGTGCATTGGACCAATTATAACTTTAGACTACATGAAAAATGTGCTAATTAATAAATAATGTGTAATAATGGCTTTTATTATATATTTGCTACTTATTTGAAATGGTTACCGCATTTGCGCGAAATAACGCCTCGAGACATCATTTCGCGACGATACAGTATTGATAAGTCGATTATCTACTTTTTTCGGGGTGATTACAGGTTACTGTGTAATTTTCGGCTGTTTTTTATCTGACCTACAGGTTCAGTGACACATTTTACATAGTATAAAATTATTTCGATATACGAAAGACGTGATTACACTACAACTCGTTTATTATAAATCAAATATTTAAAGAAAATATACAGTGACTGTAGTCAGTTTGACGTTAATCGATAAAATCAAATTAGTAAACTAAGTCAAATGGTTGATTCGATTAAGAAATAACCTGACTTTGAGAACTAAATTATAATTTTTAAATTTAGCTTAGCCTAGTAGATAATTTGCTTGGCTACAGACACGATGAATTATTCATTCAATGCCTAATTATAACACAGCAAACTTCTTTTATCGATATCCTCAAACCATTCAATTTAATTCACATCTAATAACTCCTGGTGTATGAAAAGATCCAAGTAACATTACTTTCCTAACACTATCACCGGCTGCCACAGAAACGGCACCAAACAATGTACCATCATCCTCAAATATTTTCTTTTTTTCGTATTTGATCCCATAAAATTTATTTTCTCCAGTGTTGTTGCTAACTTTTAATACACTGAATGCAAGTTTAGCATCTTTTATACCATTTAGATGTAAAAACACATCCATGACTCTGTCCAACGCTAGTTTAGCATGAAGTTTATGATATTTCAGTATTTAAAAGAAATTAATTCAAAAATTAACGTTCATATTCTTCACATTCAATACATGGAAATTCATAACATACCTGCGAGATAAATTTCACCAGTCACAGGATCCACACTAACGTTATCAATAGCATATTCAACTTGAACAGCTTCCAACAGCTTTAATTTATTATCAGGCTTTCTTTCGTATACTAAAAGTTCACCCGTACCAACCGCACCAACAAAAATGTGTGAATAATCCCAATTTGTATTAATTCCATTTGCAAACATTAAACCATCAACAGCTATTTCTGTAGTATTAGTTTTTGAGGAGTGAAAGACAACATTACTCCATCTACGACGTGTTAATACTAATTTGAATTATATAAAGCTGTTAGTATAATTTCATTAACCATTTAAAAATTAAGATGATAGATACATTCAAAATGTCTCTTCCACGATCGGTAGTAAAGATCATTTGTCAAATAAAATTCATCCTTGGACACAGGAACCACATTATTGGGATTATAAATCAAATCATGCTTAAAAGTTTTTAAATGATGCAATTCGAAAGAGTTTATTTTGTGCTTGAATAATTCGATCACACTTCCGGTGCGTCTGTGGTTTATAAGAAAAAAATAAATGTAACCAGATTCTGCCGGATCTTCATACATCCCAAAACCATGAAGCGAAAAGTCTTCTTCATCGGCAAAGTTTTTGAGGGTGAGAGGAGTTAGTTTATCAGTCTAATAACATGAATAATATTTTAATTAAAAATTGTGAAACAGACGATTTTTAAATACTCGAAATAGACAAATGATACCTCAGTATTATAGACATAGAAAGTTTCTCTTGGGTGATAACTGTAATTGAGAACATCATTCGGTGGAAACCATTGGGTTTTACGACCCTGTTCGTCACCACAAGCTAAGTAAGCAAGTCCAGTCGTATGATGTATTTTGATATCTTCACATATTTCATCGAGACCTAAAACGAGTATTATTGAGACAAAATTTAAAATATATGGTCGATAAAGAAATTATAACACACCTTCAAGTTTTCGACATTTCCCACCAGTATATTTTTGAGCAGGTTCACGATAATACCCACTTATTACAACCAAATCTTTATATGTCATATATACAATGCCAATAAATACAACAAAAATCGTTAAGAAAATCGTAAGTAGGCCTGCCATGTCTTTATTGGAACGAAAAAATAAAAAGAAGTGAAATATTTAATAAGCATACTAGCATGATGGAAAGTCGTTTTGATTGGCCAATGTGATACAATTGAGTGTAGATCATTACACGAATTATTTATATTAGTTTTATAGTACTCTTAATATGAAAATATAATCGCTTATATGACAAGTGGCTAAGCATACCACCTACAACTAAATAATTTTCAGAATACGTTTGTCTTTCACTTTACTAGTAGTTAGTGGATTTAATCCCATATAATCCCATTCCCGGGGAACTTTTGCTAATGCCACATATTTACTAATGACTAAATAGTAAATCGTTAAGTAGGCTTGTAAGACTTTTTAAGAACTTTTTTTTTGGTTTTTTTTTTTTCAAAATGTTAATCTTACGGCTAATATAGTCTTGAAACTTGTATTCAAGATCTAGGGAATTATAAGACATATCCGAATAACACTTAATTTGTAAAAAATATGGTTTTTTACTATGCGTATAGTCTAATGTTACTATATCACCGGAATTATTGGACATTATCAAGAACTATTTATTGAATTAGCAATCGGATTAGATGAAGGATAAAAAAAGGCTTTTGAATATTATTTAAAAAGTGCCGAAGCCGAATATGGACATTGTTGTGGAATGTATAATGTTGGTC